TCATAAATCATTCGATTTACTTGTAACATTCAGTGGTGGAATGATGAGCAAGAAAATGCACAGCTTTACAGATGAGTATTAGTAATTACTGTATATCAAATTTTAAGATTGTAAATTATAAGTTCTTGAATACCTTCTTCGTCTTTTAACTGTATTTCTTGTTGGTGGTTTCCAAAGTCCCGAACATACTTTCCACTTTTCTTTAAAGACTTGAAGTACTTAAAATTAAACAACAATAAGTTTTACAACATAATAAGTAAGTATTCAACATATTCTTATTTATCATACTATACSTAATGCACTTTATTGTATTCATTCGAAATTGTTTRCTAAAACTAAATATTTTTATAAATTTATTTTCTAAAATACATGTATATACATCAATATAAAAGCACCATTCAAACAGCAATATTACATAATTAAGTGTGTGTGTGTGTTGTTGTTGTTAACTGGCCTTGCATTTGGTCTGGAAATGTAACTGGAAAGCTCAAGCTCATATTATTTCAAAACATGATTCTCACAGGCTTACAGGGAGTAAAATTGCACATTTCCATATACCTAACTTTCAAGACAACATTAAGCAAACAAAAATGCCATGAAACAATAACAAAGGTCTCATGAGTTTAACTGTTATGTAATTACCAGYACACGTTCTTGATAAAAAGTAATCTTGTTAAGAACAAATGTTCTAGCTGCTTCTAAATCTTCAAAGTGGGACTGTCATTTTGCCATTGGAAGTGACCTGTCTATAATTGTATCTACATTGTCAAGTATTTTTCTCTCGGTAGACCCTGTAATACACAAAATGATACAATTCTCATTATATGCTATACAAAATGATTTATATTTGAGWAGAAATTCTAAATTGGGATACTGTCAGCARCTCCAAATAACCRATAGAGTCTCGAACTTCTTAAAACATTGMCAATAGATTCATGACATTGAGTTACCTGAGAAAGAAACTACTTGAACATTGTGCCTCCCAARTTTAGTTTCTTGTCCAGCTTTAGCTTTGACACTYATCCTGTCTCTCTTCATGTTCTCTGGTCCATAATCCTTCAGCACTGCATTGCACTCCTCTAGAGAACCAATCTCAAGACAAAATAGTCCAAGTGAAACGAGGAGCTGTTCCATATTTCGCATTTCGCAATGGAGAGCACAAATGTTTATGGATATCATGTCCTCGCCAAGGAGAAGTGATAGGTCATCTCTCAACCCTTTAAAACTATTGAATGGAAAATACAAAACATTATGGGCATATAAAACCTAATGATAAGCAACCTTATACATTATAGATTGTGTTGAATAGAAATCATATGCATGCGCAGATATTGATGTATGAAGGTCCAGTTCAATGACAATGATGGATAGACCTTCCCTTTTTCAAGCAAATATATCATAGTATTCATAGTGGAGTTATTGTGTATAATACAGCACTGCAAAGAACATTAAATTTTATCTACATCCTTAAATAATGCACCTTCCTATATTTGCTTTTGTCATGGCAAAGTGTTCCAGGCAAACTTCATTTTGTGCCAGATCAAATGCAGAACATAGCTACAGCAAAGAAATCCTTTTTGTATTGAACACGGGCCAAA